AATGTTAGTGAATATAAGACAGACTGCAGGGAAGGCTCAGCAAGCGGGAATTATTCCGGAAATGCAAAGAATCCAGGACTAGAAAAAAAAAAATCAATGGATATGATTGGTCACAGCAAATTAAGAGGAAAAGATTTTTATCTCTGTAAAAATAGTAGATAATAAAATTCAGTGGAATTTAATTACTAGGAAAATTTAAGAGTATTTCCTTAGTATTAAACATCTGTGGCCAGTAGCAGTCTTGAGGGAAGAACACAATATATATATTTAATAGTGGTTTATTTGAGACAGTTTCTCTGTGTAGTGCTGGCTGTTCTAGAACTCAGTCTGTAGACCAGGCTGGCCTCAGCTCAGAGTCCTGGGATTAAAGGTGTGCGCCACCATTACCTGGGTAAAACAGTGTATTCTGTTCCCCACCGGAAGTGTATAAAGGTTCTCTTCCGGGCACCCTCATCTGCATTTGTTAGGATTTGTTCACTTAATGATTACATTCTAACTGAGATGAGGTGGAATCTCAGTGTGGCTTAATCTGCACTTCTCTGATAACTATTGAAATTGAGCATCTTATTCATACATTCATTGGCCATTTGTACTTTGGTTGTGAGAACCGGCGGCTTATTTCACTAGTCCATTAATTGATTGGGCTGCTCATTCAGCACCACAGAACATCCCCTACACACTGAAGAAAAAATTAACACATCCAAGAGGTTACAGCAAAAAGCAGACCATGTGAAAAGAGTAGCTAAGCAAATGAGGAATGTCGAAGCACCAATCATACGGCAGGAATTACACACACCTTTCAAAGGTGGCTGGCTGCCGAAGGTCTCACCTCTCCAGTGCGCATACAGACTAGCAGACGACTAAGAACAGGATCCATCTATTCCCTCCAAGAAATGCACCCCACCATCACAGATAAACAACTTCGAGATGGGAGTGACCAAGGACATAAAGGGAGTTGGAGCTAGAAAGTAAATGGGCATCAATGAATGTCCCCAGGTGGATCTCCACCACCATGGAGCAATCAACCGTTTCTTAACCGTGACAATAAAAGCACAAGCAATTTAAGGTTAAATTGAATGAGTTCAAAGTTTAAAGCATGCACTCTGGCAATAGGAGAGCGGGCAGTATGTGCCCATCACACGCCTGCTTGATAAGAGAACTGAGTCTAGAGCGTAGAATTTCCACAGCTAAGCAGACGAGTAGCTCAGCTAAAAACAGGCAAAGGATCTGCAAAGATTCCTCCAAAGACAGTATACAACTGGTCCACGAGCATTTTAGGAAGCTATTTAGTGCCATTAGTGATTAGCAAAATCCACCGAAACCTGCATGAGGCACCATGCACCCGCTAGGACAGCTAGTGGACTATGGACAGGCAATAGCAAGTGTGGGGTTGAAGCCCATTGCTGGTGGGAAAATAAGATGGTGCCTGCTTTGGAAAACAGATGGGCAATTCTTCGAGATGTTTATCACAGAGACCCCACGTGACTCAGCACAGATTCCACCTAACGGCCAATGAAAACATATGTCCCTCAAGAACTTACAAATGTTCTTAGCAGCTTTACCCAGTAGTCCCCAAATGGCCCAGATGCCCACTGACTGATGGAAGAATTGATAAAATATGCTATGTTTGTATAATGAAATATTATCTTAAAAAGGATTAGACTTCCAGTGAACCTCGAAGCTCAATGGTCAAAAAGAATGATTTCTCTATGTGAAATCTGGGGAGATGCAGATGGACGGAAAGTTAGAAGAGTAACAGTTGCTGGGGTGGAGGGGATGGGGAGCGCAGAGTGGCTGCCCGTGGCTGTGAAATCTGTGTGTGGTGATAAAAATCTTCTGGAATTAGATACCTGCTATTGGATTTACAGTCCTGTGAATGTGTTGTAACCCACTGACTAAATCACAGGCTTTCAAAGGCTGCATATATGAGTTGTATCTGAATGTTTCTAATGGGCTATTTTCTGTGTGCTTTTTAAAACGAATACTTTATTTCTTTTAACTTTGAGAGAAGGGAAGTTGTTTGGTTAGTTTCGGTTTTTCAAGACAGGGTTTTTCTGTGTAGATCAGGCTATCCTGGAACTTTCTCTGTAGACCAGGATGACCTCAAACTCAGATCCACCTACCTCTGTCTCCCGAGAGCTAGACTAAGGGTATGTACCACCATGACTTGGCAAAAGAGGAGAAGCTGTAAAACACAAGATCTATTAATATAGAACATAGAGTTTACGTAATTTAGAAGATAGGGCAACCACACAGTTCACGGCCAAAATGACGTATTTATTAATATGATAATTTAAGTGAGTATGGATACATATAAAGAAAATATAGATATGTTAATACCCTCTTTGTTTTTAGATTTTAAACAAAATTATAATAATAACAGCAGTAAGACCTCCAACTGTATACCCAGATATCTTGTATCTTGCATGTTATGACAATTAAAAATGACTTTCCTAGATGAAAAGAGAGAGAGAAGGAGCCTTCAGCACATGCATTGGGAAAGTAAATCTGGTAAAGACAGAGTCCATTCGGTGGTGTCAGAACCTGGCTAACTTCATCGGTTGTCAGTTTGGGGTGAACATTATAGAAAGTACTCTTAGCAAGCTTATGAAGGAAAGAATTTCTAGGAAAGATGGGTCACTCAGCATCCATGGAAAGCCAAGGTTAGAAGTGAAGGAACCTCCCTGTGCTGGGGAAAGGGGATAGTTAGACTAGGATGCTCCATTCTGTCATTTCACAGTGTCTAGACATGCTACTACCACGACAAACTCTCTATCTCTGTATTTCTCTCATTCCCTCCATTTGATGGAGGCAGGACTATCCACAGCAGAGCTCAGGTCATGTGGAGGTAGGAAAAGGAGACCCACGTACATTCAACTATTGGGGTACGAGGTGGGGTCCTGAAGCGTCTCTCTAGGTAAGGAAGTGCCAAATGAGAGGAGTCAAAAGTGACAGCTTCCCACTAGCATTTGGAATGACTAAAATTAGAACCATACTTTCTATCACAAACCAAAATAAATTCCACATGGATCCAGAACTTGAATGTAAAACTGGAGATCATAAAAGCACTTACAGAAACTGTGCATGCATATTTATGGGATCTTGGTTGAGGGCACTTGCTAAGCATGATGTAAATACCAGAGTGCCATTAAAACACTGATAGGGAATATCAGATGACCCAAAGGACCCAAGGTGTGGCAGATTGCTTGCATAGCGTGTACAAGGCCCTGGTTTGATTCCCAGCACCACAGAAACAAGTGTAAATAAATACAGAAATAATTGCATTTAAAAACTATTGGTTGCATTTTAGTAAAAATAAATGAATAAATGTATAACCCCACCCCTTAAGAGATCAGAATGGCGAATGCCACAATACAAGCAGGGGTTAGCTAGCCTTGGGTGACAGGTGTTAAAGATGGGTTTTCAGCTTTCCTCACTGTGTGCTTCCCCCACACACACAAAAGTGTTATTTATTTTTAAATTTGGAAAGTGGAGCACTTGGATGTTTAGTTCATGAGACTATGTAGCATCCGGGTCTTCAGAGGCAAATTTAATGCTAAACTCTAGAAAAATGCGGCTAGCTTTACAGAGAGCGGGTCACGGCAGAGCTTCCACACCTGTGTGATTATGTTGCAGGGGTTGGAGTTTGCTCCATCTGGTGACACTTTTAAAAGGACTGGATAATTGAATGTGTCTTCCCCTCCCCACCACACACACGCACAGAATCCTTACCTCCACAGTGTTTTGGCTTTGGGTTTGCTATGCCTTGTCTTATTTTTAAGAGAAGCCATCTGCTTAGGAAGAAACTCTTAATTCACAGTTTTGACATCTAAGGGAAAGCCAGATGCCCGTTGCATCTTTCATTGCCTTACCTACAAAGAATGAGTTAGCACAGCATTTCCGGTTCCGCAACCTTTCAGTCCCCAGTCTTTTGTCCCCTCTTCTCTGGGACTCCATCTCAGTAGAGGGTTTAGCATAAATTTAGCATAAATCTAGTGTCCTAGCCAAAGGGGAGGCTGTCACTTGAAAGACAAGGCCTCCCAGAAGCCTCCATGATAAATGATGAGGGAGGCTCTTCATGGTCCAGAAAGACTAATCAATAGCCTGTCATGGAAACAGAGCAAGCTATCTGGAGACAGCAAAGAAAGAAAAGTTTTTAAGTGTCATGCCCCTTGTCCCTGCTCTTGGCACTCGGCTGCTCTTCTTCCTAGACAGGACTCACTATGACAGTTTCTCATGTTAAGCGCCCTTAGTCTTTACCTTTAAGGGCCAAGGAAATGCCATCTTGCTAGGGTTTTTCTAGCTGAGATCAGCATGTTTCAGTAGTTCTTCCTTCATGTTTAAAAGTAAACACCTCTAAGACCATCTCCTGTTCAAGGGGGTCCTAGCAAACATTTCTGCGTACTTTTCTCTCAGTTGTAAACAGCGTGACTCTGGAAGCCTGTGTATGCTAATGAGGGAAGCCTGGTGCTCTTGGGCTGAAAAGATCATCAAGCAGCTGCTTCTGGTCTTAGATGGCTTAGTGATAACCGTTTCCAGCCCCGTCGCTTCCCAAGATGACTGTAAAACAGCATGAACATATGTCTTTGGGCCACACATCCCCTGAGAACCTGTGTACCTCTCTCATGGTTATATGCCCTGTGCTTTTTCTTAAGTTGATTTTGATGACAGGGAGCAGGACACTAGCTAGATAGAAGGGCAAGGTTGTGTCTCTTTCCTCTGATAGAAGCAGCAAGAGTCTTACCATGGATTCTCCGGCATCGGTGGAGGAATCCACAGTTGGTGCTGAGAACTGAATGCATAGTGACCCTGGCAGGTGATGCACTGTTGTGGTGGGCTCTCTTCCCCCTGGTACCCAGCCCCTGTTGCTGAGGAGGTGTAAGTGCAATGATAAAAGGGACATGTGTGCAGGAGGCACTGCTGTGTATCATGGTGCCAGTCATGACCTCCATCACATCCGGGTACAGCTAGACTCATCGCTGCCTCTCATCTTTTTTCAGGAGCCGCCTATTGCCAGTTCATGGACATGCTCTTCCCAGGCTGTATCAGTCTGAAGAAAGTAAAATTCCAAGCAAAGTTGGAGCATGAGTATATCCACAATTTTAAACTTCTGCAGGCATCGTTTAAGCGGATGAATGTTGATAAGGTAAGAAGCCTGCTAGTACCCCCCTCAAATGTATTCTTTTCAAAATCGCTTTCAGCATTTTATTGTTTTTAAATTGTGTGTATGTAGGTTTGTACATGTAAGCGTAGTGTCTGCAGAGGCCGTAAGAGGGCATAGGATTCCCCAAGAGTCAGAGTTACCTGTGACCGAGAGCTACCCAATGTGGGTCCTGGAAATTGAACTCCAGTCCTCTGGAAGAGAACTGCCTGTATCTTAGCCAGCACCCTGTAGTAGTAATCAAAACTGAAAAAGTCTGAGAACATATCTATGAGGTATATACTCAGATATCTCACCATGTGGGGTCTGTCCATACAGAAACAGCAGCCCTGAGTTTCCCCATTCCTGTGAGGTTTTAGTTTTAAGAAATCCTTAACCCAGCAGCCATTAGACAGAAACCTCTTAGCAAGAGTCCTGAATGTTATAATAGTGGGTCATCAGCTTCTCTGGGTTGCAAATGAGGCACTTTCTGTTTACCAGAGGCCTCGGGGTTCTGTGGATGTTTTGTTCCTTCGGGGAAAAACAACTTGTTAACAGGGAAACCACTCTGGGCTTGACTGGCCGGTCCGGGTCATTTTCTGGGTGTCTAAGCTGGCTCCTCCTTCCTCATGGTTAGGACACGCTAGTGAGCAGGTGTCTGTAACAGTGTCCAGCGTAGCACTCCTCTCAGATCCCAACATCCGTGAATGTTGCTTTTCTCCTTTGAAGTATAATTTTGCCCCAGGTGACACAAATGGAAGTCTCGGTCCTCACGTCCTGTTCCTCCCAATAAGGGACTGAGGGGCTAAGACCCGCTGGTCTCTCAGGGAGAGCCGGGTGCTAGTCAAATGTTTGCTAGTAATATGTCTTCCTTATTTAGGGTATTTCTCTTACTGGCCATGCCTCCTAGAATGAATAAGCATGACAAGACATGAATCTCAAACAAGGGGGAAAGAGATAAACCAGCAGAGGAGAAACATAACTCTTAAAAAAAACAGTATTGATAAAAAGAATAAAAAGCCTACAGGATAGAAAACAGACACTAGGTTGTGAGATAAAGGTTAAAGTTTAATAATCTAGCATGGTTCATCACTTTCCTAGGTAAGAAGCATTCTCACCACGATGTTGAGAAAACCTGGCTTCTTCTCTTCTAGGAATGCTTGTTTTAAATTGTACAGCCTGAACCAGGTGTGGCGGTTAGTCCCAGCTTCTCCTAAGGCTAAGGCAGGAGGATTGCTCAAGCCTAACTGTTTGAGAACATCCCGGACATTACAAGACCCCTTCTCAAATCCTAATTTTTATTCCTTCTGCTGAGGCTAATCTCCAAGTAGCTCCTTCCCCACACACCCAGTTGTGCGGGCTCTCCTTACTTTTAAATTCGCACTTGTACATTAGAGAGAAGAAACACCCATTCGTGGGTTTCTGGCTGGAACTTGCTGTAATCAAATCAGAAAGCTTTGTGCATCTTTCTATAAGTGAACACACAGAAAATGGCCGAGCTAAGAATATTGACAAACAAGTTTGCAATGGCAAGAGACTGGCCTTGGCCTCGCCAGCCTGTCAGCCCCAGAAGCATCAGGACCCTGTGACTGCCCAAGTCCCTAGAGAGACGCCCTGTCGTGCACCCCTCATGTCTGTCATACCTAGTGCTTTAGAGGGCCCACTTGAAGCTTCTGTCCCTGAAACCAGGAGACGTCGACAGAAGTAAGAGCTGCTATGCCACTCCCATGTAAAAGCCTCACACGTAGGCAGTGGACACATTGCTTCAGTTGTCCGTGAAGGACCCTGTACTCCACATCCCTTACCAGTTCAGTCTCTCCAAAAGCCAACAGTAACACTCAGCAGACGTCAGCTGTGATAAAATATCCATGGTAGTGCAAACAGGGCAGGGAGTCTCTCCCTGAGAGTTCAAGGGAAGCAAGAGGAGGGAGGGCATGGCAGCACCCGAGCCTCCAGGACCAGCAGCAGCTTGATGAACAATGTCCTTCCAGAAACTTCTATTTCCTTTATTCTGTATCTTGTATCAGTTTCTGTTGCAGCTGAGTTAAATATTTTTGGAAAATGTATCACTGATGACTTAGCTGAGTGTGTAGCCTAAGGCGCTTCCCTCACTTTTTCTTCCAAGTTATGGTTGATACGCAAGGGCTTTCTGTTCTTTTTTTTTTTTTCCTCAATTGTTTCTCCTGAGGTTATACTATAATTATATCATTTCCCTTCCCTTCCCTCCAGTCCCTCCTATACTCACCCCTCTTTGAGATCTTTCAAATTCATGGCCTCTTTTTTTATTCATCGCTGTTCATGTGCCAGAAAAGTCCCATGCAAGTTCCAAGGGAGGGAGACAACCAACAGCAGCGTGATAACCCCAAGAGCACACCAGTGGTGCGGATACTTTTAACAGTAGGAAAAGCATGCCTGGTGCAGGAAACCTAGCCACCTGCTCAGAGCTAGGGAAGTCAGTGATTGTGGAAGAGAGCCCTAGCCGCCATTTTCTGTTCTTTCTAAAGTGGCCCTCTTGGCTTCTATGACATCAGTGGCCTATGGTTTCCAAGGTGGTAGAGCCTTGCTGCAGGGTTGGTGTCTTCTGTTTCCGTTCATGTTGTCATGCTATGGAGCTGCGTTTCCTGCACACTGGGCTTCTGTCTGAATCACTCACACCACACGCCTGCATTCTGACTCACAACTTAGTTCTGCCACTCTCATAGTTCCCAATCAGTTGTCACCCAGTGATGGAAAAAGTAAAGTCTACTCATTGTGCTGTGTGGGGAGAATGCTGGGAGAATTCCATTTTCCGTAATAAAAACAATAGTGGTGCACTGAATAAGTTAAGCAATCAAGTCTGCGCGCGCGCGCACACACACACACACACACACACACACACACACACACACACCTCGCTTTGTCATAATCCCAGAGGTTCCTGCGAGAGTCGGCAGGGAATCCTGGCTGACTCTGTGGTGGAAGGTTACACTGAAAAGCTGATACGTATGCATGCACCTTCTTTGTGTGCTCCCACGACCCCCTTATTGAGCCTCTTCTTCTCTGTCTCTGCACTCCCCTGAGCCTTAGCTCCTGCCCTATGTTAGTTGGGATGCTTGTTCCTCTACATTTCAGTGAGCTCTGTTCCACATGACCCATCAACTCAGTACCTGTTTTCCCTGACCTGCCCCTGGTTCCTGTGTTCTGTTAGCTCTAATCCTAACAAGAATTTATGTCACTATGACTCGGCCAGGGTTTTACAGAGAAGTAGGAAAGCGCTTCAGGTTTGAGACAGCACAACATCCCAGGCCTGTAGATTCTGTGGGGAGACTGCTAAACTATAAATGTCCTCCACACGAGAGAAGTCACCTGTTTTGTATGTTGGCTTTTCTGAGATGAGGCCTCGCTGTCTAGCCCAGTTCCATCTGAGACTCACAATCCTGCCTGTCTCTCAAGGACTGGGATTACAGGCTGTGCTACCACCAGACCTGGCAGGTTGCCCCCTCTCGACGCCTAAGGATATTCCTTTTTTAGTTATTCAAGAAGAATTAAATTTTGCAATACAAGCAACTCTGTTGGATTTTTTTTTATTTTTTTTATTTTTTAATTTATTTATTTATTAAGGATTTCTGCCTCGTCCCCGCAACCGCTTCCCATTTCCCTCCCCCTCCCCCGATCAAGTCCCCCTCCCTCATCTGCTCAAAGAGCAATCAGGGTTCCCTGACCTGTGGGAAGCCCAAGGACTGCCCACCTCTATCCAGGTCTCGTAAAGTGAGCATCCAAACTGCCTAGAAATAGTTAAAATTGTGTCAATTCTAGAATATTGCTGAGAAGACAGGTAGAGAGAAACAGTGGTCAGGAAGTGCAGGCAATGGGCCAAAGAGACAGCTCAGTGGTTAAGAGCACCTGCTACTCCTACCAAGGACTCTGGTTCGGTTTTCATCCCCAGCACCTGGTGGCTCACAGCCATCGGTGACTTCAGTTGCAGGGGATCCTGTGACCTCTTCTGGCCTCAGCAGGCTCTCTACACACATGGTGCACAGACAGACAAGCAAGCAAACACACACGAACATAAATGTACATAAATAAGAAATCTTAAATTTTGTTCACAAAAGAATTGCAAACAATTCTTAGGGTATAATTGCACAACACACTACAGAAACCTGAGATTCGTGACTTACATAGTGTCCTGACGTTGCAGGTAATTCCAGTGGAGAAGCTGGTGAAAGGGCGTTTCCAAGACAACCTGGATTTTATTCAGTGGTTTAAGAAATTCTACGATGCTAACTATGATGGGAAGGAGTATGATCCTGTCGAGGCGCGACAAGGGCAAGATGCAATTCCTCCCCCTGACCCTGGCGAACAGATCTTCAACCTGCCCAAGAAGTCTCACCACGCAAACTCCCCCACAGCAGGTAGGTCATTCTCCTCGTAGCGGGCAGCTCCGACTCTGCCGTGCTTCAGCCTGTACCTGTCTACAACTGTCAGTATTTTCCTACATTTGATTGGTGTTCAGTGTTGTCTGGGTCCATGCTGATCTTTCTGTGACCCATATGTCACGAGTCTGATGATCTTGATTTCAGGTATTAAAAAGACAGAGGCACATATGCTGTGTCTCTGGCTGTTAAGATAATACCCTGGGGATAGATTTCGTTTTCTCTCTACTTTTTCTAAAAAAAATTTAAGTAATCTATTTAGATTTTGATTAAAATATTTTTACTGCTTAATCACTGGCAAGGCAGACCATAATATGCACTGACATGTACTGTTAAGCGCGGATCATTTTCTATAGGCACTCAAAGGAAATTAGTGATCACTTTTGTGTGTTAATGTGGAGCCTTCGTTTATTATGCATCCGTGTCCTGAAAAGGAAAATAATTGCAGATACATACCTAGAACTTTAGGAGTTTTCTTTTTGACTTTTTTGTGGATTAAAAAAAAATTCTCTAAAATATCTTAGAAATATCCTTGCCATAAACAGCCAACTTTACTAGATAAAGTGCGCGCTTGGGAAATGGGGTCCTGGTTATAACTGCCAGCTGTCTGCTAGACCGTTGACAGGGATGTTCTCAGAAACCTTTTTCCATGCCAGATGCAGAGCCCGTTGTTCAGCTATTACAATGCAGATTCTTTTTTATTCCTGCCCACCGTACTCCAGGCAGCATGGACTAGGCATGAGCGCTACCGCTGCAGGTAGCTTTAGCCTTGCTTTTCCTCGCTACATAGAAACCTTTTCCATCTTTTCTGCCTGAATTCATGACTATACCCCGGACAATCTGTATCCCTTGGAAATCTGACTTCTTCAAACAAGTTTTGAAATACTTGTTTAAAACAAAAGAAAATCGGACGGGCACTGGTAGCACACGTCTTTAATACCAGCACTCAGGAGACAGAGGTAGGGATCTCTGTGAGTTCAAGGATAGCCTGTTCTATAGAGTGAGTTCCAGGATAGGCTCCAAAGCTACACAGAGAAACCCTGTCTTGGAAAACCCAAATAAATAAATAAATAAAGTTGGAGATAACAAAGATCAGTGTGTATACTTCCTGTCTTGTGATGAGCTCTTCCTCGCGTGGAATAACACAATGGAAGGAAGAATGCATGCCTCTAGGAGGTATTTAGGAAGTAACAGGATTGGGTTTTGGTAAAGGGTAGATCCTGGAGTGAGCAAGTGAGCTGCCAAGTGTGACTTTTTGGTGTGTTTCCCACACTTGGAAGGGTGAGGATGTCATTCAGGAAGTACTGAGAGAGCTGGATCTGACAAGAAATTGTATTTAACATACCGAGTTTTGGGTTTCTTTGTAACCTCCAAAAGATGATCTAAATAACGTGTGTGTGTGTGTGTGTGTGTGTGTGTGTTCCCATTCCTTGAAGCTGGAAGTAAATACAGAATAATAGAGGAGAGAGTGCCTTTAGGAATTCCTAACAGTTGCCAGTGAGTAGAGGAGACACTGCCCTGGAATGCATAGAAGATGCCAAAAAGATTGGAAGACGCTAAGGGGTGGTTTTCAGGGAAGCAGAGGAAGGAGGCAGAATGATCTACAGTTTCTAACTCTGCGAGAAGTCAAGTAAAATGAAGCCTGGAAGAGTTTGCTGGATTGCTCAACTTGAAAATCATTCATGGAATGATGAGACAAGAACTGGATTAAGGAATGAGTTGGATAAAAGACACTGAGTGAGTATCCAAGTCCAGTTTTGGAATGAATGAGCACATAGATAAAGAGCCCTGAGCACAAATCTTTGGGGGTTAGACGTACACGAAGGGAAGACGCCTCTTTTAAAAAGATGAGCGCAGACAAGAAAGTCAAGAGGCCTCAAATCATCATCAGTGTGGAAGTTGCATAGACCTAGGCTGTTTTTCTTTCTTCCACAATCATACTGTGACCCTAATTTTTTTGGCCTCAGCTCCAGCACTTCTCTTCCAAACAGAACTGCAGTATGTTGCCTTGTCCTCATTTTCTAAGAATTCCCTCATCTGTGGCTCACAGAACAAACAGTAGGAAGTTTCTAGAAAGAGGGTCATGAATATTAATTGTGGAAATATGGTGTACAATGAAACTTGAAAATGGTATGTAGAAAGCTGACTCCTAGGGCGTGATTAATAATCCTTTGGAGAACTGGTCCCCTGAGACACTGGGCACTAGAGTCTGGATTGCAGCAATTGAACAAGGCCACGTGGGGTGTGGACATGAGGAAGATCCTACCTCTAACAGCTTCATCAAGGATACAATTGATTTAAAAAAAAAAAAAAGCATTTGGTTGTTATCCAGGAGGGATAGGAGGGCGGTGCTCTTAGGGTTTGCTTTAAGGACAACACAGAATTACCAGATTTGTAAGGTCAGAGAAGAATCTCTGATGAGCCAAGGGTGAGAGAAAGAGTAGAGACTAGAGGACCATGACCCTGAATGTGAAGGAGCAGATGAGGTCAGGGGTTTAAGGGGTTAATGGGAAAGGGAAGATGCATTTTCCTGGAGCAGAAGCGAAGGGATGAAAATTAAGCCACAAAGAGATTGGAAGACAAAATTTCATGCAGTTCAAGCTGGTCAACCTACTTTTGTCAGCAGCTTTCATCAGGCTAAGAGTTGGAATAAAAAGCTGATGCTGATGGCGAGTAGAGCCGAAGCTGATGGCGAGTAGAGCCGAAGCTGGTGGCGAGTAGAGCCGAAGCTGATGGCGAGTAGAGCCGAAGCTGGTGGCGAGTAGAGCCGAAGCTGATGGCGAGTAGAGCCGAAGCTGGTGGCGAGTAGAGCCGATGCTGATGGCTGTAGAGCCGAAGCTGATGGCGAGTAGAGCCGAAGCTGGTGGCGAGTAGAGCCGAAGCTGATGGCGAGTAGAGCCGATGCTGATGGCTGTAGAGCCGAAGCTGATGGTGAATAGAGCCTTGCTGATGTGTCTAGAGCCGATGCTGATGGCTGTAGAGCCGATGCTGATGGCGAGTAGAGCCGAAGCTGATGGCTGTAGAGCCGAAGCTGATGGTGAATAGAGCCTTGCTGATGTGTCTAGAGCCGATGCTGATGGCTGTAGAGCCGATGCTGGTGGCGAGTAGAGCCGAAGCTGATGGTGAATAGAGCCATGCTGATGTGTCTAGAGCCGATGCTGGTGGCGAGTAGAGCCGATATTGATGGCGTATCCTTAGCTGGGATTTGGGAGGCATGTGAAGTGACAGGACTCTGGTGAGAACCCAAGGCACCTTGCTATTTCCCTTCTTAATGTTCTTTTTGTAGCTGCTTCTGGTGGACAGAGTAGCTTTGAAACTGTTGCATTTTTTTTGAAATTCTAATAAAAAAATCTCAGAATACTTTTCTTCCCCAATCATAATGCATCTTTATTTTTTGTTCGTTTGTTTGTTCAACCTTTTTAACAGTTGTACTCTTCCATCCAGAACTAGGCTGTGCTGGGCAATCCTCTCACAAAAGCCACAGAGGGACTTGTGCTATTTTGACAGAATGTCATGAGCCCAAAAGAGAAATCTATGTTTCTCAAGGCTTAACCTCTCAGGTGATAAAACTTGGGAAACATATTAAAGCCAACATTTAATAAATTTGATTTTTTGGGGGCTGTCACAGAAGGTAGTGATTTCTGATACTGCTCCCATGCCTTGATGGTTTTTATTTTTTTTTATTTTATTTAGGGAGGAATGGTATTTTTCAGGAGACAAATTAATCATTCCCCTTTTAATCAAATGTGTCTTGAATATGAGACATTGTGGGGCAGTAAAATTTTATTGGAGCAAAATTATCACAAGACATACATTACATGTGGGATATCGTTTTTAAAGACCATAATGGGAGAAAGGCCCCTAGAAATGCAGAAGGCTCTGACTTTCACAAAGTCATGCATCCAGATATTGGGAACATGGCCAAGAAAATAAGTCAAAAGTTCTCGGAAAGTCAGGAGAGGTGCTGGAAAGACTGTTTATAGAATTCACATGCTTTTGTCAAGATTTCTAGGGACGTTCCCAGAGTCTGTGCCTTTTTCATCATTACATACATGTAGTAGAACATGTGGAGATCAGCTCCCGGCACGTGACTTATTAGGACATACATGCAGTAGAACATGTGGAGATCAGCTCCCAGCACGTGACTTATTATTACATACATGCAGTAGAACATGAGGCGATCAGCTCCCGGCACGTGACTTATTATTACATACATGCAGTAGAACATGAGATCAGCTCCCAGCACGTGACTTATTATTACATACATGTAGTAGAACATGAGGAGATCAGCTCCCGGCACGTGACTTATTAGGGCAGGACACACAGCACAAAGAGCAGGGAAAGCTCCAAGGCTTCAGCTGGAAAGTTTGCCAGAGTATGCGAGCCGGGGTATGTGTTTCAAATCCAGCTGTTGCATGAGTCTCACATGTGTGGATGAGTGTGATGTCTCAGGGTTCTCTTAGAATTCTGTTCAGAACTCTGAGCCATAATCTCTATAATGTGAGTTCAGTGCATGACTTCACCCAAGACCACGGGTCTGCCTTTTCTGTTCAAGACTTGATATGAATCAAAGTGTTGATAAAGTGGGTGGCGGCCCGTCTGGTGACACATCAGTTACATATAGCCCCTATTCTGTTTCCATATCTAAACCTGGGTCTCTTCTTAATTATCTGTATCCTTGGAAGCAAATAATGGCTTGTATAGTTGGCAACAAGATGGGGACTGGCACTTTGAAATACTTGATTAATTTTGCTGTGGCTGGATCTCTCCTCACAGATATGCCTGAGGCTGATTTAACTTGCACGCCTGGCAGCTTCAAAGCTTTGTGCGACAAAGGGGCCAGATTAGAGTGGGAGAAAGTGATGTGGAGTGTAATGCCCACGTAGCGGTACTCGAGAGGGCACTGGCTATGCTAGCAGGGAAAGAAAACCCTGCTTTTCCCAGCATCCATGCTGTGTGTTGCCTCGCACCAGAGATGG